GGTTCTTCAGTGGAACAGGCTTCCTCGGGAGGTGGTGGGCTCTCCTCCTGTGGAGGTTTTCAAACAGAGGCTCGATGGCCACCTTACAGCTGTGCCGATTCTGCGAACTTGGGCAGATCACGAGAGGGAGGGCAGGAACGATTCCCTCAGGGCTTCGTTCATGTGGCCCTTTCTTGCACACCCAGGTGGACCCAGGTATGGTTTCCAACCTCCAAGTTGGGCCTAGAGACTCCCAAAACTGCAACCCTTCTCCAGACTGGAGAGGTTGGTTCCCCTGGAGAAAACGCCCCCTCCAGAGAGAGTGGACCGGGTGGACTTTCATGCCCTCCCGAGGCCCCTCCCCTCTTCAGGCTCCGCCCTCTCCAGGACTCCCCCAGCCCCGCAGCTGGCAACCCTGGTCTCAGGCCAGCTGCCCTCTCTCAGCCACCTGGAGATGAGAAGGCCGGCCGACTTTCACAGTGGTTGCCGTAACGATGGTGACAGGCTTTTCTCCGGCCCTCCAAAGGCCCTCAAGAGGAATGGCTGCAGCACTGGCTCAACTGGGCTGGATTCACACACACTCCTGTCTTCCCGTCCACCCCCGCTCCATCGTTCGCCACCAGTACTGACCCTCTCGCTGTCTTCGCCATGGGGGCCAGGGAGGCCCTGCTCACTGGGGTCACCCTGGTGTGGAGAGGGAGAGGAACAAAAGCCGTGAGCCTGGGCTGGCCAGCAAGAGACACACCGGCCACCTCTCCATGGCAAACTTGGCCTGCCCTTTCCCGGGAATTCTGGGAACTGTAGTTCTGTAAGGGTCTCGTAGGACTCTGAGCAGCTGCAGAAATGTCAACAGGTGAATGCAGTAAAGAAGGAATGCTTCACCAGCTGAATTTCTGCCTGAGGTCACGCAGGGTGGGGAGAAAGAAAGTCCTAGACGATTCCCAAGATTCCTGGGGATGAAGCCATGAGAATGGAACCAGTTTAAAACCAGTCAGGGTCCGTAGTGCAGAAGTGGAGGCAGAGACAGAAAATATGACGGGGTGGGGGGGGGGGAGATGAGGAGGCTCTGCAGAAAATGGGGGGGCTGTTGATGCGAGTAGGGGTGTGCATTTCGGAATCCCGAACCGAAAAACATCCCTAAAAACTTTTTTCAGGGTTTTTTTTGGCTTTTGGGATCCCAAAATGGCCTTGAAGCCTTTTCGGATATCCGGGAAAAAAACCCCAAAAATTCAGGTTTCCCCCCCGGGTTTTTCGGCATTTCCGAAAAACGGCATTTGGCGGCTTTAACGTTTAAAGGGTGGCAGGGAAACCCTGTTTTCCTGCCGTTTCCCCCTCTTTCCTGCTTTTTGCTCCTGTTTTGAGGAGGGGGGGGAAAGAGGGAACTAGACAGCTAATCACTGCAATGCATTTGCAAATGCATTGCAGTCTGTAAAACTGCAACTTTGTTGCAGGGCTGTTGCTGCTGCCACTAGCTTGCTCTTTCCCCAGGGAAGGAGCACTAGTGGCCAATAGGGTTTGGCATCTGCTCTCTGGCCAATCACAGGTGTTCCTTTTTGAAATCTTCTGTGTATGGCCAGAGAGCATAAAAGGAGCCAGTCTCCCTGGCTGACTCCATTGCTGTTCCTGGTTCCTGGCCTGCTGCTGACTGTTGGTGACAAGAGAGAGGGATTGGCTAGCCTTGGACCAGTTGGCAATTTCTGCTGCCCCTGCTGCAGTGCTGCTGCTCCTGAACCCCTTTTCCTGGCCTGGTTTGAAAAATATTAGGGCACTTCTTTACAAAATCATCTTTGTTTTTGGGCCTGGGGTTGGTGGTGAGGAGGGTTGGTGTGAGTAGGCCTAGGCCCTAGGGCCTCAGGCCTCTTTCTGGGTTTTATTTGGGGAGGGAGGGTTCCTCTTCTAGTGTTCCTTTTTTTTTGCAATTTAAAATTGTTTTTAGCTGTCTGCTTCATTTTGTTTAGGCTTGCCTTGTTATTTGGTTTCTTCTCCCTCCATTTTGTTTTTCCATTGTGACTATTATTTCTATTTGGCCTGCAGCTTCTCCGGGGGGGGGGGGGGGGCCTTTTTTGTTTTTGTTTGTGTTTGT